TTTAAGTGCCAAATGGCCCAGGAGACAAATTGCAAGTGTCGGACATTCCAGATGTGGCCGCTGCACGTCCTCTTTTTCCCCGCGCCATGAATTTGTATGTGGAGTTCTTTGGCAAGCCGCGTGGGACATATGGAGGGGAGATGGGGACTTTGGCGCGTGGGGTGTCCAAGAAGCGCAAGAAGATAGGTGCCGATGGGACCCAGACCGAAGTCAGCCTGATGAAAAAACAGCGTGCAGCTCTGGAGCATCTGGCAACAGTGAGGCCTGCGGGGAGACAGAAAACCATGTTTGGCACGGCCATGCCGGGCCCGGCGGATGTGGCATCAGTCTGGACCGATAGACATGCTGATCTGTCAGAAGCTTTCAAGGAGAAGCTTGCCTGCAAGGTAGCGGAGGCCCGAGAGACTACAAAGCAGGGGCTGCGAGCTTCCTGCACTGCCCCGCTGAAGACGATGGCCAAAAAGAGCGCAGCCCGACGGATCCAGAAGATGCACGATGACATGGCCAAAGCAGCGGCGCGGGGTGCGGCGAGACGTTACGATGCTGCAACTTGCTATATCTCCGCAAAGAACATCTCGCCTGTGCACTCGCAGAGAACGACAGAGGACCTCCGCAAGGCCGATATCATCATCACCGGCCGCAAGTTGGAGAAGCCCGATTGGAGAGCTGCGCATGCCATGGTGACGGGCAAGGTCGTCGCTGAGGGCACCGACCTAAGCAAATCTCGATACATCAAGTGGCAGAAGCGGCCGGAGACGATGACAAGCCAGTGTCTTGTTTTTGGCGTAGAAGTTTGTCTTTATTTAAAATAACTTGTAAACCTTCCCAAAACCTATCCGGCCATATAAACTGAACCCTCACAGCCAATCCGGCTCTCTAAGTCGTGTTGGGACTGATGGAGACGTCGTCGTTTTAGCTGAGGTCCTTGTATTTCACCGAGCCTTTCCAGAAGAAGTTTCGCAGCTTGGACAAGCTTCTGCGTGAGGTGGCCGATCGCGAGGGCTCCAAATGGAAGATAGTTCCGAAAGAGTCGTATCCGCCACCCAAAGGCACCAAAGTGCTCTCCCCGGCCAATATTTGGGAGTGGCTGTACAGTGCTTGCCGGATGGAGCCCGTCAGGGCGTGAGTTTGCCATTGCAATCAGACAGATTGAGTGCTCCGGTGGTGAAGACTTAAAATAAGTTTTAGGCTTTAGGGCTT